CGAAATTCTAAGCCGTACGGCCGAAGACGGATCTTGTAGGCATTTACACCTCGTAGCCGCCTCTTCCTCGCCGTATTCCTCTCTGCAAAGCACTTCGTCTACGATTTCAACAGGAAATCCTTCGTAATTGGGCGGTTTTGGCTGCTCTATTGTTAATCTGTACAAAAGAAGCTAAGCATCAATTTTTTAAACGAGATCATTGTCATTTTTAATATTTTTTTAACAATGTACTAATAGTAATAGGGTTGGCAAATGAATGGCACGTTTAGATACGCGGTTGATTTGCTGCTTTAAAAAGCACGTTGCTTTTGGGTATACCACAGTTACATACCGCGCTAGATTCGTAAAGTACAACCATACAATAAAATATTAAACGTTCGCTCTCGATGTAAGGCACCCAAGCGGCTGACTGCGCGCTGGCTGCTGTTCTTCATGCTGACACTGTGTATCCTCATTGCTATCCACGCGTACACCTTCAACTAAGTGCGCAGTGGAGTCTTCGCCTACATCAAGTTATGTAACTGCCAGTTCTAAGCACTTCAAGACTCTCGAGCCTGTGAAGAACTCGTCCATGAGACTGATCAAGATGCCTGGCCGAGGCCTACATTGGCAAGGAGATGAAGAACATCGTTGTCACGGTGCCGGCATACTTCAACGACTCAGTGCGCCAGGCCACCAAGGACACTAGCGCCTTCACCGGGCTCAACGTGCTGCGAATCATCAGCAAGCCGACAGCCTCCACCATCGCATTCGGCCTGAACAAGATGGGCGACGAGCGGAACGAGCTGATCTTCGACTGGGCGGCGGCATCTCCGACATTTCGATGCTGAACACCGAGGAGGGCATCTTCTTGGTAAAGGCGACGGCGGGCAACACACACCTAGGTGGAGAGGACTCTGATAACCGCCTGGTGAAGTACTTTGAGCAGGAGTTCAAGCCCCACCACCCCAAGAACCTGACGCAGTACCAGCGCGCGCTGCGCCGACCGAACACGGTATGCTAACGCGCCAAGCGGAACCTGTTGTCGTCAGCGCAGACGTACATCAAGATCGACTCGCTGTTCGACACCATCGAGTTCAACTCGATCAGCACGCACGCGCGCTTCGAGAGCCTGTGCAGCGACGACTTCCGCACGACGAATGACCCCGTGGGGAAGGATCTGCGTGCCGCATAGCCGCCCAAGAGCCAGTTGCACGAGGTGGTGCTGGCGGGCACCTCGACCACGAATCCTCAATGCTGCAGCCGCTGACGGAGCTCTTAACGCAGAGAAGCCGTACCACTCGAGCAATCCAGACTAGGCTGTGGCGTTCGGCGCGAAGAAGCCAACGAGCACTATTAGCGACAGTAACAACCCTCCGAGGGCATCCAATGTCAGATTTTGATCCAGTAAGGTCGCAACTTGTGCTGTCAGCGTGGACATTTTGGTTCGGCGGTGGCTGAAGATATCGACAACTGCACTCTGTACCGTGTTAGGGCATCCCTCAAAGGGTTTTGAGTACACATCAAGGGCCTTTTAAGTATCAAATGTGTTGAAGATTGTGGAGAAGCTGGACTCGTCGCGTTCAAATACAGACAGTGAAGCATTGACCGGTTTGAGAAGCTCGAGGGCTGCTTCCGCTTTGTTCCAGAAGGTAGCATCACTGAACACTCGATCTGCTTCATCCAGTTCGGCACCTTCATAGCGTTTCCGTAAATCTTTGCGGGAGAAAAGTGCAGCAATTATGTCTTTGTTTTGAACGACATTCCCGATGCATTTCTCGTGTGTGTATCAGCGAGTGGGAACCGGGAGGGAAAGACGACGACGCTTTTCACCTTGCTGTTCACCATATTTCCTCATTTGAGATTGCCTCTCGCGGAAGAGATACCGCAATGCGGCACGGTCCTTAAAAAACCGCGCCAGTATTTTTGCGTCATTAACAACACTTTTGAAGTAATCCAGCTTCAGAATGTCCTTCATCACTAAGTTCATCCCATGCGCAGCACACCCAGCGCATGCAATATCTGGACGTTTGGCCTTTACAGCTTTCCATGCCTTTTTCATATTAGGGGCGTTATCGGTCCCAAGCGAAGATATTAACTTACGACCAACAGTCTGCTCAACCTCTGCAATCGTAGTCAAAATTTTGCCCGCAATGTACTCTCCAGTATGCATGTGTGCCACCGTGTTAATAGATTTCCAGAACACTGACGGAAAGCGAGGATTCACGAGGACAAATTAACGATACTATCACCATTGATGTTGGTCCAACCGTCCGAAACAATTGCCAAATCTGATCCTTCTTTCAACAGCGATATAACACGATCTTTTTCGCGGGAGTACACGATATCCAATAAATTACCAGACAACTGGCGACGTGATGGTAACTTGTAGTCAAACATAGCTTGAAAACTTGGTTCTTCGACAACTCGGAAAGGGATTTCAGTAGAATAGAAACCCATAGCAACTCGCAGAAAATTGACCATCTTTTTGCTGGCGGAGAGCGGCGTTGATGCTTGGGCCCCAGCCGAACGTGGTGTTTTGCGAGCGCTGCGGGTGGCCGGCGAAGAGCAAGGAGTTGGGAACAATTGCTTAGTTATTGAGTTAGCTTTCCTTTTCTTGGATTGGGGGGGGGGGGGCGGTGTAACCATCTTCGCCGCCGCGGCATGTCGACGGTCCACGTCATACTCTTTCCAGCGCGATAAGGTTTCTTCATCAACTCCAGGGCACGTCAATACATGTCGTAGCATGTTTCCCGAAGGCATCGCGTTCCTGATGTCAAATTTGCACGCGTTACATTGTGCGGCAGGGTGATCTTTTTGCCCCATAACTCGCGGCACGGTCTCGGTGAACAACTTCCAAATCTCGTGTCGTGGCTTCGGCATTGAGGTGATTGGGATCAGCTTCTATAGTAACGGAGGTGACGTGTAGGCTCCGCGGAGGATTCTGAAATGCCGAGAGTCCGCTTTGAGCATGTGCTTTAACTGCGGTGGTTGAAGTCTGCGTTATATTTCGATTGATGTGCAAGCTACCGCCGTTATATTTCGAATGGCATGTGTACATAAACTGAATATAACGCTGTCATTCAGCAGGTAATCGTTTCATAACGCATATCTCACCTTACTTTGCCAACCATAAATAGTAATAACGGAGATTGAAGTAGTAAGTAATAACATATTACTTCAATCTCCGTTTTCTTTAATATTTGACCCGTTGCATTTTAATGATAGTTTGAAGGAACAAAAAAAAAGATTCATAAATTTTACTACAATTCGTTTCAAGAATGGTGACCAAGACAGCAAAATCTGCGAAGCGAGCACGTAAACTGATCGCGGCTTTGCAAGATGGCGACCGCCAACACATAAAGAAGTGAGGAATGTGTCTATTAGGCAATTTGGAAGCTAAAGAAATGCTGGCAAGACTACGTAGAGCAACGGAAACCAAACAAAGAAACCGCGTCGCTCAAGGTTGCCCAAATGTGAAGAAGCTGCCGAAAAAATCAACAAAGAGACTATTGGCACCTGGCGTTTAAGGTATAGTAGTCGTAATTCAACGTCCCTCTCTAGATCTAATATGGATGGCGCAGCCTTTTACTACGAGGTGGATGAAATTTTCCTTCTCGTTTGTGCTAGCTGTGGAGAGCTGTCCAACGCGTCAAAAATGACGAGAAGACCATTTGATGAAGTCGATTCATACTTGGATCCTTTACGAAATGAGGGCAGTCATTGCGACCTAATACCAGAGGGTATCAGTGCGGTCGACAGCTCGGACGCAAAACTAATATGGCTATGCAGTAGGTGCAACGTTTCGCTTCGAAAAGGACAAATTCCAAAATTTTGTCGTGCGTCGGGTTTTCGCATTGCACAAGTTCCTCCAGAGTTGGCTGTGTTGAATCGCTTGGAAGCTCGACTTGTCGGTTTGGGAATTTCGTTCACGACTTGTTTGAGTTTATACTGCGATGGTCAAGAATTTACTCGCGGCAACGCTGTGAATTACTGGAATCCAGTGCAAGACGTAGTAAATGCATTAACTCATCCCCTCCCGAAATGTGGAGTTGTTTTATTGAGGCTTCAAAACGACAAAGGGGAGCGAATATTTCGAGTTCGTCCTGATCTTATTCGCCAAGCCTTAATTTGGCTGAGAAATAACAATCCACTCTACAAGGACATCGAGATTTCAGAAGAAAATCTTCAGAACCTGGCTGACCACGATGCAAATGATGGCATCCCAGCGCTACAAATTACACCATCGGAGGCCGCAGCGTTAAAAAGTTTACAGAGCATCGGTGAGACGCAAGGCAGCCAGCAATACTGTAAACAGGATGCAGCAAGCACCAGGTCGGTAGAACGACCAGGTCTTAGTCTGAATTGTGCTTAGACTAGCTCAGCTGAAACCACTGACAAATCCGACGCTATCAATGGTGCTGACCTTCTAGAAACCTTTGAAATGACCGCAGACAGCGGTGACAACATGACCGAGATCCATCGTATAGTCCAAGCAGCCAATGCTGTTGCTGGAGAGACTGTATACCCAATCGGCGACCTATCACATCAGAAAGATGCTGTTAACGAATACACCACCAAAATGCTCATGCAGAATTGTTTCCCAACACTATTCCCAAATGGAGAAGGAGACATAAACCCTATAGAAGGCTATGAAGATCGACTTCACGAATACAATCTTGCCGAGTATTGTTCTCATCTAATGAAATGGCACGACCGTCGATACGTAATTCACGGTAACTTTAACTTTTTTTTGTTTAAATCTTGTTCAACGGCGCCAGATCGACGGACTTGTTCGACGTGTAAATTGTCGATCTGTTTCACAAAACGATCTCGACAACACTGAGAATGTAGCCACACAGTTGCCGATTGACTTAGACTCAAAAACAGCTCTACAATATCTTGAGTCTCTTAAACCTTATTTTAAAAGTGTCCGAGGTAGTGGATTGTATTGGGCAAGTGTTCGAGATGAACTCATGAGCATGATAGGCAATAGGGTTCTTCCAACACGATGGCCAACGTTTTTCCTTACGCTTAGGCCCGTTCTCAACCGAAGCGTCAGAGGGACGCATGCGTTGCATGCGTACCCTAAACATCGCAATTCAAAATACTTGACTAATATTGGCAGAATAATAGCCAGTCATGTTGTGTTCTAGCAATTCTAGTCTGGCGCTAAACTGCTACCAAACTACTGGCAATTAACGAGCGCGGCGATGGAAAACCAGGATCCCCTCCTAGAAGAGATGAATATTCCTCCCCAAGCCCCATCGTCCCAGGAGCCTCCTCAGCAGATGCATGCACTTCCCCAGGTTCAGCAAACTGTCGCTCCCTCGGTGGGTTCTGATTCTTTGCAGGGGAGATTCTCTAATAAGACTGCAGAATTCAACGTCGGATTTCAGGCTGCGGCGTTGGCGCGCAGCAGGGAATCGCTTAGGTCCGCTTGGAGATCTTTGGGTATACAGAGCCATTGTTGTTGCGATCTTGACTATAAAACACTGCTACCAGTAAAACTGTTAGGTTAGGGGAGATCGTTGATTGGCTAAAACTCGAACAAATCGTGCTGCCTGTTAGCCGATTGCACAGCCAATCAAATCGCAAAGGGATTGTTTAGCACGCATGCGTCCGAAAAACGCTTCGGTTGAGAACGGGCCTTAGTGCTGCTGATACTGTGTGGCCAGACTTTTTTGTGACTTGCAATCCTGCATTAACTACATCAGGCAGCCCATCTTACGTCAACAGAACGACGAAAATATTTGAGAGAGAATCCAGATATCGCAGCTAGACATTTTAGCAGACGGTTTAAAGCGTTTTTTGATCATGTTCTTTGTGGACCTCGCAAACCGTAAGGGGAAATCATTGACTACTTCTGGAGAATCGAATTTCAACAAAGAGGGTCACCACATATTCATGCACTGTTGTGGATAAAAGACGCTACGGACGTCCTCGAGCTCTCAAAAAAAAAGAACACGGTCGCACTCAATTGGCAGCTTTCATTGATAAATACATTTCAGTACTAACAAAATGAATGGAGGAACTAGCATCTTGCTATTGCGCTATTTGCACAGCCTCTCGTGCAAATAATATTGATATCCTGGCGATGCGTCCTCCAACTGAAAAATCAGCAGAGTGGCAATGTGATTTATCGCACTTGGTTCACCGCGTGCAACAGCATGTGTGCCACGACAAATCTACGTGTCGAAAGAAGACAGAAACATGTAGGTTTGGTTTCCCTAAACCTCTACAGCAGCATACTGAAATTGACGTAAAATCTGGTATTGACGGCACCCCTTCACTAAAAGTACTCTTGAAAAGAGAGTCACCATCAGTAACTAATTCTATCCAAACCTACTGTCGACTTGGCGTGCAAATATGGACATACAAATGATAGGAAACGCATACGGAGCTGCCGAATATACAGCGGCTTACATTAGTAAAGCGGAGCCAGATACCGTGCGATTTCGAAATACGATAGCTGCAGCAGTCAAAAGATGTGATAAGGCTTTTCCTTACTACGCCATTCGTAAAAGAGTAGCTAATGCTATATTAGCGGTTCGAGAGGTCAGTGCATAAGAAGCGTACTTTAAATTACTTCGAGAGCTGAAAATGTATGGTAAGTCTAGACAAGTCTGTAGAATTAAGGTACTGCGCCATCCGTTGCGGTATTATCGAGTTGAACCTGAAAATTTGCAAACGATTGCTACGCAACTACTGTCATTCAAAATCAAGTTGATCCTATTAAAATCGAGCATTCTGAAAAAGCCTACATGGCTCGTCCACACGAAGATCCTTTTAACTCAATGTCATACGCTACGTTTGTTGAGCATTACGAGGTGGTAGAAAAAATGAGCCGTACAGTGAAGCACTGGAAACGAATTGATAATTTAGGATACATACGAAAACGATCTAAGCCACAAGTAATTCGCTTTGTCCCCTTGGATGGCCCCAGACACGTCAAGTCCTAATTACTGCTATGCAGAGCCATTTCTATGGAGAAAACTCAATGACCTACCCACCACGGATGATCAATGCATTTGTCGGTTCAATGAGGAACAGAAGGCTACATTAAATAGTGAATTGACAGTAGAAGTAAATTTGAAAGTAACGAGACAACATCAATTGAATCTTGTAAAGAATGCTCGCGAAAGTAAATGTTGCACCGCTTTGCCTCCGTCTGAATATGTCTTTGTTGAAGGTCCTGATGAACACTACGACGATTATCAAATGGAAGTCGAGAGAGATAGGAGAATTGTTGCCGGTCTACGTACTGAATGGACACCCAGACATAGTTATACCAATGAAGATATACTCAGAGCCCACGATTTTAATAATATATATATATATATATATGTAAGGCCATGGGCTAAACAGCAAAAAGAACTGTCAAATGTAAGTTCACATCATTCTAATACGCTTAGAAAAATATACCGCTACCCGATTGATGATGGTAGAGACCAACCCGACAATATTCAAACTATGGCCGAAACTCAGTGGACACCTTTTGCGTTGGCCATGAAGCAGTCGCGTATCCGCTACAGTTCCGTACTAAACAATACAGCATGTAAGCCACTGTGCATGGTGAAGGAGGATCCGGAAAAAGCTGGTTAATTAAGCATATTGTTAAAGACGTACATTGTGTTTTTAAAGAAACCTCAAGGACTCGACTAAATTCAAAAAGAGTGCTTTTGCTTGCACATCAGGGAACCGCAGCATTTAATATTAAGGGACAAACACTGTGCTCGGCACTAGGCTTTGCATCGCTTGCTAAAAATGTTTTTTCTAGACCCTACGTACCTTTGACAACTGAAAAGAGCGGTTCTACAAAACTACAAGCACTGCAACAACGCTTTAAGGATGTGCATCTCGTAATAATTGATGAATTTAGTGTTATATCTTGTGGTATGTTATATTGGATAGATCAAAGAATGCGAGAATTTGGCCTGATCAAAATGAAGTTAAATTTGGCGGTCGAGATGTGTATTTTACCGGAGATAGTGCACAATTAGATCCTGTTATTCCGTATTCTTTAGCTACATCTACGGATAGAATACGAGATGACATTCAGCGTAAAGGACGCGAAATTTGGGAAGAAATTAGCTGCGTGTGCTCCTTAAGTAGTCAATACAGAGGAAAAATGACTCTGAATGGTTTGAAGCACTACGCAGGTTAAGGGATAAATCTCCCACGCAACAAGATGTTAATTTGTTTAACACTAGATTCCGCAGCAAAGATAGCATGCCTGACTGGGTGAAGACTGCTAAGCACATTGCTTTCCTTAACGCAGACGTGGATGACGCTAACGAAACCAATTTAAGAACGAGCCCTTTTCCTGTTGTACACCTAAATCACTCCACCAAGTTATTCAAAAAAAACTGTCACCAAATCGAGAAATTCCGACAGGTACAGTGAACGCTCTCTTAGAACAGGCCCAAGAAAAAGTTTCGACACGAGATCGTGTTATACCTACTGCAGTTAATTTAGCAATTGGAGCTCCTGTTTCATTAACATTTAACGTGGACCAAACAGCAGGGTTATGCAACGGAACAAATGCGATTGTATATGATCTCATCTTTGTGTGTGGTTTGGAGCTTCCCATTGTCCTGGTGCAGGTACTTGACGAGTACTTTGGACCGTCTTTCTTGCCAAACGTCCCAAAAATTATCCCAATCATCCCAAAAGAGACATCGTGGGGAAGTGCGAGAAGTGAGCTTAATTAAAGTCGTTAGAAGTGGAATCCCACTGCGTCATGCGTATGCTATGACTATTCACAAAGTGCAAGGTCTTACCTGTTCAAAAGTCGTATTTCATTCAAACTCTTTACCAAATGTATCTTTTGCTTATGTTGCTCTCTCTCGTGTTAAGCATCGAGACGATATAGTACTCACACATCGTTTGAGTTTAGAAAAGCTTAAAATCTCACCTGAACGCGAATCGTACTTTAGAGCAGAAGCATTGCGCGTCGCTGATCTTGTCTGTAGCACACAAAGATCTACATTCTCAATTTTACAAGAAATGAAACATTTAGCAATTGTTCACAACATGCAGTTGTCCCTGAGATAGTGAATACAAGTAGCAATTATTAACCATTACCACCCAATTAGATGTCATATTGTAAAAAAAATAGTTTCTATCTTATAATATTCATTTCTAGTGTTCTAGTTGTGCACCTGCTTTAAAACTACGTGCTACAGCCACCAATAACGCGCAAACCAACTCTACCAATTGTTATCACCACCACATCGACGCATTTTCGTATGGCATGGCCAAGCTTTGGCCATCACAAATTCCGGGAACCTTATATTCCGGGAACCTTATAAGCAAACGATCACAGGGAACCCCCATTATGTAAAGGGATTGTCATCACAGCCGTTGCAAACGAGAGCAAGATGACAACATTTAATGGACTCGTTCTATCCTATTCGCAACCAACACACTGCTAAAACGGCGAAATTAAAACGTACTAATGTTATGGCATCAACAACGTTCATTGTTTCGGAACTTAGGTCTAATTTTGTAAACAAGACCAACAAAAGTATCCCTCCTCAACCGAAAGGTTACTGCAAAGACAAGGTACGCCCATCGAAGCAACACGACCCGAACGACCTGCACGAGCGGCAGCGACGATGGCACAACAATGTATGTATCCTTCCGATGACTTCGGTGGTCAGTTTAAGATCTAATTAGTGGTAATTTGGCAGGGGAAAATCACAATTAGAGAGTTTACTCGCAGTATGCTCTGCCAATCTAGACAATGCAAGTATTCAACTGGATGCAAGAACTCTCTTGCAAAGCGCTCAAACGGTGGCAACTACGCTTTTTGCGAGGAGCACCGACGATATTGTCACCGTAGCGACATCGCAGGTCCTGCCTGTGTGTACTCCACGGATGTTTCAACGAGGTTGCCATAAAAAGAAATGGAGAACCTCATTCCATGCAGCATCGAAATATGATAAACGCAAAATCCAAGGTCAGGCGTGAAAAGCTTCTGGCAGAGATTCGTACCCGAGGTGGATGCGAGTACGCTTCATACAACTGTACCAGTCCATGCGGTATTCGCAAAGATGGACAGCCTTACCGCATGTGCGACAAGCATCGGGCTCAAATTAATCAGTCAAGAAAGAAACACGAGCGTAATAAAGGATCGATAAAGGCCCATTAAACAGCCTACCGAAGCTTTCGTGCTTCGTAATTAGTTAAATGAACTGCGATTTTTTGGCTTAGATGGGGGGGGCGTCGCTTAAAATTGTGCATTCACAATTTTAAGTGTCGACCCTATTTTAGCATCAAGTGGAGCGCAGCAAACGCGATGCTCACCTAGTTATTTTGGAGTGATGTGATTGGCTAAAACTGTGCGGTGTGTTGCGTGAATGTGTGCTGCTGCTCAGTCGAGAACTTTCCGCACGAAGATGACAGAGGTCGAGTAGGAGTGCGCGGTATACGGCGAAGGGACTGTGTTTCCCGTGAAGATAGCGAGCAATGCGGAATTGAGCGCGCTGCAGGAGAAGATCTTCGCGAAGCAACGATACAGCGAGCGGTATAAGTTTGACGCGAGCGAATTGACGCTCTACTTGGCGCGGAAGAAGATGACGACAACTTGGATGCTCTCTTGCAAGGAGATGTCGATAAGAAATACATGAAGATGCGTCCATCGTGAAGCTCAACAAGAAGGAGTTGTTTGGACCGAGTTTCACGCCCGGAGATGAAGAGATTCACGTGCTGGTGGAACTCCCAGAAGCTCAGCAAAGCGCGGCGACACTGGCACTGTTGATTCCGCCAGTTGACCAAGGTTGGACGGCTAGATGGGTGAGCGAGTTTCGCATGAGTCAGATAGCACTGCATAATTTATCACTTTGGGAGAGCTGGCAGAATTCGTCGAACATGAGCTACCAGTGAAGATCACTCTTCACGAGCAGATTCGAGCCAACTGGCTGGCGAAAAAGAAGACCGCGACTCCGGAGCTGATGGACAAGCTCTTTCGGATCGACAACGCGGAGCCCTGTGTGGAGTTTTTGTATCAGATCGGCAGTCGTGTGGTCGAATCCGTGGATCCTGGTGACACAAAGTATTCGTTCGTCTCGTATTGGGACGACTTGATCCGCCACGTATTAAACTTCGTTAGCATCGGCAAGAGCGATCGAAATACAAGTCGATCGGAGTCAACAGGTCGCCCCGACTACCTTTTCATTGTGGATTCGGTGTGCGTGTTTCGCGGTGAGGAGAAGGCCCCTGGAGAGCAGATGGAGACGCCGAGGCGCGAGTTATTTGAGAAGCTTGTTTGGAGCTACGGTGACGCTCCATATTTGTTCGGATACGCAGCCGTTGGTTATGAAGTTAGATTGTATGCTATCACTCGTGTGCACGATGAAGTGGACGCAATTGAGTTGGGAGTATATGATCTCAAACATTTGGAAGGACGATGTCGTTTGCTGCTGGCAATTTTGAACGTCGCACGATTATTACGGAGCCTTGCAAGTGCGTGTCCAGAAAGCGCTCGAGATGAGTACAGGGCAATATCTCGAGATCAAGGGATCAGGATACTTCTCGAGCCATCCCGCGTTGTCAAGTGTTTCCCGAAAGCGCTATTTCAACGAGCAAAGGACCATGTTGAAGCGGTGTACAAGGTGTTGGAAGAGCACGCCATCCCGAACGTCGATCGTCTGGATCATGCAGACAAGAATACAATGCGATTGATATTCAAGCCACGTGGTCAAGAAAGAAGACCAGCAAATCTTGTGGAGTTATTTCGCGCGCTCGCAAATGTGTTGCAAGCATTGGTGAAGCTGCATGCTGCTTCGTGGATGCATCGAGATATTCGATGGCTGAATGTTATCAAGAGTCGCGATGGCGACAATTCGTGGTTCCTGATAGATTTCATGGACGCCGCGCAAACTCCACAGCTTTCACCAAGCGGCAACCACCTGAGTGAAGCCGAACACGCCCCCGAGATCTTCAGCGATGGTATTCACACAACTGCGGTGGACGTATGGTCTGTTGGGCGGTTGATCCAAACGTGTGGAGGTGAAGTCTACGGAAGTTGGTATGACACGGGGAGAGAGAGAACACAGTTCCTGGAGCTCCTGATGCATGACGATCCGTCGAGAAGACCCACTGCAGTTGCAGCACTCGATCGACTCCATCAGCTTGAGCAAGAATACTTGAAACGGCGAAAACGGCAGAGGCGGAACTAAAGTCAGGGTCCCGAGGTTCCAAAACCGCGTTCCGAACCGGTTCCAAAATGATGTCGTACTTACTAGAGCTGCTGTGGTGCTTCAATTTAATAGTGAATTGCAATTATTTGATGAATTGTGGGAACCCGGGTTCCAAAATTTTCGGAACCAAATTTTAATAACTCGAAGGGCTGTGGTTACATTGACATCTTCCGTTGGTGCTCGGGGTTCCTTTACTTCTGTATATACTACGTAATATATATAAAATTTATAGACAGGGGGTAGGGGTAGAAGAGAAAGAAGATATAGAGAGACAGTGCTGCGTTTTTTTTTGTGGAACTGGGAACTCGGTCCCCCATAATGTATAAAACCTACCATGATCATAATAGTTGATGTTACGTCGGTTCGGTGACATGGAACTGGCTCAAATCATGTTTAGGAACTTCGGAACTCAAAAAAAAAAAAATGAAGTGACTCATTGAGTTGATTGCCACTCGCGATGCCGCATTGTCTTAACATGAACGTATCGATTCTTGCGAGTGTATATACCACCGCACTCACAGTTGATCTTTTCATTGATCATATCTCGATATTTTTCATAGTAGAGTTTATCATAGTTCGATCGATCCAACCCGGTCGATGCTCTTTTTTTATTCACGCAATTAGTCTTATCACTAACAAGCTGCTCGAATTGGCGCAGCTCATCTGCTGATTTCACCTCATACTCTTCTATTGCCTCAATATCGAAACTTTCAATGCCATATTGCTTAAAAAAGTGAAATATTGAGCAATTGTTGTTGCTCTCTCCCTCAAGCCATCTCTTGTAGTCGCTTTTATGAGTCGACCATCTGTCATTGACTTGCTGGATGGTAGAGCCAACATAAACGACTGATCGATCTCTATTTGTGGTCTCGTAAATGGTACCAATCATGTTTCTCGTACTATTTCTCGTACTATATTCTAACAATTTTATATCAGAATTGATTGCAAATCATCCCTTCTCTTGTTGTGGACGGACGTAATGGATTAGGTTACTCCGTCCGCTCAAGCACTGCATAAATTGATATCTAGCGTACCCCTAAACCCCGGAGAGCGAGCGCAATGGTACTACATGATCCTGATCCAGAGAGATATTCATTAAAACAACGTCCAACAGTGATACTGTATTGGTAAACTTTTAATACGAGACATAATAAAAGAACTTTTGTCTGGCAAAAAGGCAAGAACAGACCATATAATACAACAACGTCAACTAGATGAAGATCCCGTCACATTGAAATTTCTCTCGTTTAAATGGAGGAGTTCTCAATTTGAACAGGAAATGGTGCAGTTTTCTTTACATATGGTAGACCGGGATATACGATGAAACGACTCAAGTTGAACTGTATCTGTGCAACCTCCACGCACGTCCGCGTTTGCTTCTCCTTGTATTGAACGCAGTGGCTAGCCATGATTGCGTTCACAGTAATAGCGTTTGACTCATGGCAACTTGGGGCCACCTTGATGATTTCTACGTTATTAAAACTTTTAAATATTAATAATAATAGAGAACGTCGAATTCATTGTAGGTGAAAACTCGCGATACAACGACACTATTTCAGAACTTTTTGGTGCGCTTATTTAGGGTCGCTTTAAGTGCAGAGTTGCCAAATTACCTGTTGTAATGTCGTACTTATGGTTGCGGTAACACTTATCACAAACCAGACAATGGAGCTGCGAAACTTATTGAATTGGAGAAGGATTTCTGTTTATTGTGGATGCAGAAACAGCGCCAGGTTGTGCATACGTACTCGATATAATGGGAAAAGGAACACTGGAACCAACCAAAAATAACATTATTCGGTTGATATGTAGTTGTCTCCATACATGTGTGTAGAGTATCCAATGAATCGATCCAACAGAGCGAGATAGAGGGGAGATCAAGTAACGAGACATGGTAGAAGAAGTTTCCATGGATGCAGCTTTAGTGTGGGGGCAATACTTGTTTATTGGCTCCTGGCAGCCCATTAGTAGGGCGTGGCCGAGGCGGGTTAGCGAAACGATGCAATTTTGCGAATGAGCTGTCGGACCTAATATAACGTTCGCAGTTCGTAGAACTGTCGTTTGTCGCCGATTGGCTGTCACAAACCGTATTTGTACCGGTTTTTCTTACAAAAGCCAAGTCAGCAATACAAAACTAAGTCAAGAATACAAACACAAAGTGAACAGTTTTAGTATCGAGCTAATAATAGGCACGAAGGCATTACACAGGTTTTACACTAATTCCAAAATACCGGTTTTCCAGTAGGTATGCGGTACAAGCAGATATCCAATACCGGTAGTCATTTGGCTAGGTAGTGTTGTAGCTGCGGCGCAGCCTGGGATCGAACTCGTGCCAAGAGTATACTTCGTGGGACCTTTACTCACTGGACCACCAATTAGCAGCCAATAAGTAGGCTAATACGTTTTGCATTATGAATTAGGACCGTGGAGCTTTATTCAACGTCGGACTCTTTTTAAAATTAATGTTTATTAGGCGTGTATTAGTCCTGTTTCGATAGCGACCACAGTTCGCAACTGTGGTCGCTAGCAGGGTTACATCACGAAGGTATCACTAGATGAAATCAAGAAGTTTTAAAATCATCTAACATTTATTGATGGGTTGACATTTTTTGATGGGTTGATGTCCCAGCCTAGATGCCAGACCAAAAGCAAAACAAGGCAAAGAGTGGTTTCAAACGTCAGCCATATTTTCTACATAATAACTTGGACGCGATCTCGAAGAAGTCCATTCGCCGGCTTGCTCGGCGAGCTGGGGTGATCCGAATGTCCGCTGTGATATACGAGGAGGCTCGGGCTGCACTAAAGCGTTTCGTAGTGAATCTCGTACAAGACACTGTGGTGTACACACAGTACGCTAACAGAAGAACTGTAACGATGCGCGATGTCGTCTATGCTCTCAAGCGCCAAGGTCGTCCGATCTACGGCTTTGACTAGACGGTACGGCTCGTAAAATTCTACGTAGTATAACCTTAAACGAAATAGAATACGATACGATGATACTCATTAAGTATCATGTTTTATGACAACAATTTTAAGAGCGGTCAATTCGATACCACTCCTTTAACATCCACAAACTGCGATTTCCCCCGGGCGAGCGCCCGGGTAAGCTGTTCAGCCAATCACATTCGTGTACTTGATTTGGTCTTTGTAATCCATACCGGTATGTTATAAGTATTTTCCCTGTTGTCTCATGTGTTTTATTACCCTTTTAGTGTATTTTATATGGATAGGCCTTGTGATACGGACGGGTGTATTTACTATGGAGGATGATAATTGTATTCGCGCGGAAAATGTTACGCTTTTAAAAAAAGCTTCTCTGGTCAAAATATTGAAATGCTTCGTTCGATCTTGTGCGGTGACTCCTCAGGCATTTCCGCCGCCTGTTTTACAGCAGCCAGCTCTCAATTCATGCTCCGTACTACTTCTGGAGTACCACCATAATTGGAGAACAATAAAAAAAAAAAAAACTCTGGGTATCTAATCTTAGAAAGTTACAACGAGCGTGGTGTGGATTCTGAGTCTTTGGCGGACACAGTATTCAATAGATGTTCGAACTGCGCGTGGATTGTCGGGGCGTCAAAAACTTCTGGGTCGTGAACGTGGCTCATCTTTGCGGTTATTCGCGCGGTGTCAGGGAACAAGAAGTTTGGCAATGAGTCTCGTCGACGGCTGTTAGATCTTGGAGCAAGTGCTAGCACTGGTTGCTCTCGGGTGTATTTTACGCCGTTCCATGGGGTCACGATCCCGTCACTCTCAGCTGCAGCATCATGTAATTGCCGCATCAAATGCCAGAAGCGAGCCCATACGAGCTGAGATGACACTCCAACGCTTGACTTCCGACGACCTAGATTGCCAGAGTGTCTTTGCTGATGCTGCGTGAGTGCAAACTCGCGGCGCATCTTCTGGAAGCCGACGTAACCATCCAGCAGACACTTGAGACAGCCGCATCCAGCGCCTTCGCACACACGAAGGAAGTGCGTGGATGGTAAATCTCGAGACAAAGCCTCCAGTGTCCCCACAAAGAAGCCTCGCACGTGAGCCCACGTCGCTTCCATGTCCGTCACTTCATTTACTACCCCGAACAAGTCTCCGTCACCCTGCCACACCACTCGATCCAGTTCATGTTCACGCGCGACTTGTAGGAATATCTCGGGGTTTATCTGATCGCACTCGGTACGGCGTAATGTATCACTGTACATGAGTAGAATGTCACCCATATCACGAGACGCATCGATGGACAGCACGATCTGCGTGAACTCAGCTGACGTTAACTGTCCGTCGCCATTCACGTCTCCTGCACGGAATGCATCGAGTAGATGGCGCTCACGACGAATCTGCTCCAGTTTCCACTCAGCCACCACTAGTTGGAGTAAATGATCAACATTTAAGACCTGGTCGCCGCTGCCTGTAGTCTCAGCTATTGGCAACACTGAAGCAGGAGGTGGCAAAATCGCCGTTGAGTTTCCCTGAGCTGCGATCGTCGCCAAATTCTCGCAAAAGGCAGTCACCGCTGTCTTCCGCATATCACGAAAGCACAACTGAGCGATCTCCTGCGCTCGATCAAGAGAGACCAGCCAGTTCTCCTTGTCTGGAACGTTAAGTCGAGGCACAAAACGCGACCGCTTCGAGGCTACTGGCTGAGTCATGCTACGTGAATTTGCAGTGTTACCACTGGAAGAGGTGGGCGTAACTGGACGATGACTCGACATCATCGTTGTTCCTGCTAAATCATCCGACACGATGCATTCGAGAAACTCCAAGTAGTTCGTCAGCTCAGACTTGGGTACCTCTTCAAAACAAAACCTTGCAAAGTACTCGACACGAAGATGTTGAGTACGATAGACCTCTATCGCACACGAGAACGCTAACAAGTGCATGTCCGCGATCGATGGAAGTCCGTAGCTGTGAAGGAACGACTGGTACACGATCTGTGAGAGAGTTAACATCCGACCGCTGCCACGTGGAGTTGCATAGAGCAGTCGTTGTTGCTGTGCCTTACGCTTCGTAGCAGTCAGCACCTCACTGTATGCATCTCCAATTATCTTGAGGACATTCGCGAGAGATTTTTTCGCGAACTGGGTGAGTTGATCCGTGTTCATGCGCCACGACGTGATGAGCCCAGAAATGGCTCGAGGTACAGCCACGCTGTTGATCTTTTGGTATCTTTCCTTCTTACCTTTCCCACCAGTTCCTGTTGCGCTCTTACCCAGCAGCGCGTTCAATGTTAATGGCACTACAAGTGTAGTTTTAAGTGGAGATATCGATGCTCGAGATGTTTCACGATCCGAGATAATACTTTGACGGAGTCCAAGCCCAAGCGGACTAACGGTATCGTCAGATTCCTGTTCGATTTCAAAGTACGTTTGACAGCCAACGTCGAGGCACCCGACTTTGACGTACTCGTGCCATTGAATCGGCTCAGCGACAGCATTTACAGCTGTGAGTCTCCGCTTTAGTCTTCGCGACAAGCTGGGGGTTAACGCTTGTTCTGCTTGACCACCTCCAGTAGTTTCCACAGTCTCAACGTTAGCGTCACTGCTTTCTTCTTCGAGTGCGTGTTGGAGGATCTCTAGCACTTGTGATTCAGATCGCCTATAAAGAAGTTCCGTCAATGCCTTCTGGATGTCAGGGCTCGCGTATACTTCGTGTTTCTTAAAGGTACTCGTCTCCGCTTGAACACTTGGTTGTAGGAATTCTTTGACTGGTGAAGTAGCATGATCAACCATTACCGATTTCGAGGGAGCGTTTTCTACTGGCGGGGCCAGCTTTGCCAGCAATGCAGCTCTATCAGCAGCACTTAGCTGATCCAGCATCTCCTCAACCGATGCGATCGTCGGCTTAACCAGTAGCGGAGGCTCAGGCGGCGGTGGCATCTTTCCGTCTGCAAATGGTAGTAGAGCCTGCTTGAGCGCAGTCAACCTCTCTGAGCTCTCTGTATCGTTCAGTAGACAATCCATAATAGCTTCCAGCCACCGCATCTTCAGGTCTGCTTTCATACGAGCGATATGTGTCGAGGGATCACTTAAATCCGGTGGCGTGTTCAACGCGGCGGTAGCAGCATCTTTAAGATCTTGGATCTTCCTCTTGAAGCTCTCAGTCGGATATTTCGCGTTGATTCGGTCCATCCACGTAGCTCTCTCCTCTCGTGTCAACATCAAGAAGATTTTCTTTAACATCTTCAAGCGGATGGCTGCAATATGCTCATGATTTACATCAAATGCTGATGAACTGCCACTTTCAAGTTCGCTTACCACCGCTAAAGCCTTGGACCACTGACTGTCGAGAGGAAACTGCGCCCAGCATTTATCGAACAGTTGACTGAACTCCTTTTTCTCCAGCATCGAGAGGAATGTATTTGCCACTAGTTGCAGCACTTGGGCACTGGACAAATTCTGGTGACGCATGTAGTTCATCATGATCATCTGGAAGCGTTCAGTTGATGCAGAAGCAGACAACAAGGAGTGTCCATCGTTTGTGTCTGCACTCTCACTATTCAACTCTGTTGTCTTGATACTGGCCCGACACTGCTTCCGAGCCTTGCGTCCATTCTCGTTTTTCTCAAACTCCTTCGACAATAAGTGCCACTGCGCCTCCGATAAGTAACCAGCTAGATCACTTATAAAGAAAAACTCCATATCCGTGGCCAATAACTTCGAGAAGAACATATCTTTGCGGCTGGGCTCACTTCCAAATCCTCTGCCGTTCGGTAGATCTCCCACTTGTCCTGAGCATGTGGCGAGGTATAATCGAAAGAGCGACTCACCAGCATTTGGCAAGGCGTCAACAACCAATTCCAACTGATCCATTCCCTCTATGACGCTCAAATGGTGTAGAACACACATTTTCCCATGAGTATCGAAATGTTGATACACGTCACGGAATGAATTCGGGTCTATCAAGTCCACGATGGCGCAGAGGATCATATCTCGACCACTGGAGCTGAAAGTCGCCGCGTTGTGAGTGATAGCTCGACAGATCTGGGCACTCGTGACAAGTGGTACGTGTACAGGATAGTCTGGATCATCCACACTCTTATCATCTCTTCGACTACGTAAAAGCAGCCCTCGTTGATCCTGCAGAGTCATAATAAGTTGGTCTAACATTGCTGGATTGGTCGCATATACCCTCACCAGGCCTGTCTGAACGTGAGCAAAAGGAACATACTGGAAGATCCGAGCGACGTCGTCGATAGTCACACCTTTCAGCACGTTCGGATCCATGATACTTCGACTAGTATGGAGATACTTCTCCAGTTCACGAACTCGTTCAAAGTACGGAGTCCGAGAGTAGAAACTCTGTACAAGAGAAGCCATCGCATCCGGTGACGTTGAATCTGCCGAGACGGATGAGAGCGAAGCTTCAGGGAGGTAGATGGCAGCTTGTATCCCTGCCGACATCTTCTCCAGCAGTGCCTTGTAGCATCCAACGATCCCTGGCATCTTCAATAACGTTGCACAACAGGCTGCTGCCTCCACTGCATTTGGCCTTCCAACCTGCTCAACGTACGTTTCCTGTACCTCATCCAGCTTGACCTCGGTAAATACAGCAAATGAAGCAAAGTTCCCGCGCTCGAGCTGGTACGATCGAATCCACTCTTCCACTATCTCGCTCGACGATAAATGTGCATTAAGGCGCCTCAACTGGATCACTTCATCGTCCGAATCTTCAGGAAGAGCTCCATTTGTAACACGGGGTAAGTAAGGGCTAAACCCTGATGCCGGAGCGACAGATAAATGGCGCTGTTTGTGCAGATGACGGTGACGACGTGGAGATTCGCCACCGAGAGGATGAAGCCGGTCAGGAACAAGCTTCTTCCGCCCGAATGTCTAATATGACATCACCACATTGAGTGAACGCGAGTGAGACAACGTAGGAATAGCAAGCACTAACCTTAATCGAATACGCGAGTCCACTACCGCTGCTCACTGCATTCCACGAGTCAGTGTCCTTCTCAATAGTCTCAGCTGGTCTCGGGCTGGTTGGACTTAAGACTCCGGGCGACGATGCGATGTAAGTCCGTGAACCTGTAGGAGTAGCTGCTGATGTGGCGGACACCTTGTCGGAACGAGATACCACCGCTCTACCATTCATGAATTCCTCTCAGCTCAACACAACAGGCTCGGTTTGACTTGCACAGTCTGGGCGTTTCATCGTCACTAGCAGCCACCTTAATAATTAGCACATCATAATTAGGGATACAGTCCTCACAGGCACATGTATGGCACTTGTTAGTATGGTCAGCTCACCTACTCTGCACGACTTCGTCAGCTTCGGACGACTTAGATCTGCTGAAGCAAAGACGCGTACGTGTCACGCAGCACTTGCTCCAACAATTGACGTTGCTCTTGAGGTTTTCCGGTTGCACCGACTGCTCTTCGACCGTCTCTTCCCTTACTTGATCCACTTTGCTGTTGTCTTTGCAGCTTGAGCAAGAAATGCACCAGCTCTGCACTGAGGTCTGCATTCTGAGAAGATGCGTCCACAATCCAAGGCAAAATCTCGCTTAAGAGGTTGACGTATCCAGCACTATTGTCGCCCGAGCTTCCAACGCCATTGCGTATTTTGTTCCATACCACACGAAGCGCTTGTTGCATTGCCGCACTCTGTCGACTGCCAGAGAGATGCGATGCACACAATGACAGCACCACGCGTAGTCGGAATCGCCACTTGGGTAAGTCTTTCTCAGCTCCTTCAGCTACGAACTCCATCAGTGGCTTCGTCCCGGGTGTAGCTGAGCGAGATGACGAAGAACCAGAGGCGGAAGACGACGTTGCCGCCATCCAGTGATCCCATAGAAGCTTCAAAGACGGCACGCTAGCGACTAACGTAGGCACTAATGAGGTATCATAGCCCTGCGTATGAATTGCCAATAACAATCGTGGTGGAGACGGAGAAATCTCAGCATCTGCAGCCAGCAATTCGTTCACGAGTCCACACAGCAGAGCGCGACTCTCTTCGGCCACTTCGTTGTCGCTTGGTTCCGAGCTGAGTGCAAGAAGCCGCTTGAGAAGTCCATGCGTCAGCAAGCAATCCTGTAGAAGCTGGTGCTGCTGGACACTGGTTGTAGTAGACGAAGATCCACTCGTACCTTCCACTGGTGCCACGCTTGGATCACACTTCGACACATGGACATTCGCTGCTGCCCGAACGTCTCGGACAAGTCTCAGCAACACACGCAGCAATGCCGGCTGACAGAACACGCCATCGTGGGCATCATCCACAAGGCGGAATGGCTCCTCTTGCAATTGCATGTACGTTAGCAATTGATACGCACTACCTTGATGAGTCTGAACCTGCTGCTGACGCCACAATGCATCCGGGAAGCACAGAGCATGCACCAGCTTCATCAGCAGTGAGATGTTTAGCCCTTGTTCACGACGAGCACGCGTCTCGTACAACGCTGCAAGCTGTGAACAGAACGCAGCCACCTGTCGGCATGATGTCGTCGAGGTTTGAGATGATACCACAGCATACGGAAGGAATCCATCCACTAGAACAGGCAACTCTCGCATCACCACTTCAATCGGTGCTGACTGGAGTTCTAACAGCAGCGCTTGGGTTGCGGTCCAGGAGGGAGGAGACTGCGATACGCGAACCGATGGCAATTCGCCACATTTACGGTGACGACGGAACCAACTGACGGACAAGTCACGCGTTGCGATATCCCTAGGACTGGAAGCTAGCGGTAATAGCTGCAATGCTGAACCCGATGACACAGACGCCGTGGCAGCATCGAAAATGTCTGGGTGTTCTTCCACCATGAGCTTCAGCAGTGTCGGAGCCACATACTCGAAGGCGTCGCCTTGGTCACCGTGTGTAATGGCTTCGACTACTATGTTGCGGAGAGGATACGCAGTTAAATCGTAGTGCAGGCAGATATCAGCACCAGGTCCTAATGCAGTCGTAACTGATGCACCAGAAGCCACAGACGACGGTGAAACCAGACTGCTGAGCTTGCTTCCGGCGACCATGGTGGCATGACGCAGTCGCTGGTTGAATTGCAGCGCATACGTAAGTCCCAACACGCCGCGTGCCCACGTTAAATCGTGCTCTTGTCCTTTACTGGGATCATATGTGCGTCCCAAGCACGGCGCCGCGAGCCACTTTGTTAATGTAGAGTTGCGTAGTGGGACAATTGATAACTGTAGTCGACGAGGAGCTTGGGCGACGGGATACTCGAAGGCCATAACGTAGTTCTCAATCCACTCCAGCAGCACACTCACAAGCAATGGGTGGACAGGTAAAGCGACCTGCTCTCCAACCTGAGTAGCTATCCAGCTTTCCAGTCGATACCCGTGATGGTGACGCAAGAACGATTTCTCGCACAGCAAACCGTGCAGACCACGTAGCGTGAACTCATGGTGTCCGTAGCCCGATGACACTGCATCCGACGCCGAAACGCGGGTTACCGGTGGGAAGGTCAGCACCTCACGAGCCAGGAGGTTTTCTGTCAGGATCGGCTTGAGGATTACATCGCCAAAAACGTGAAGATACTCTGCACGCAAAACCTGTTGCACCTGAATCCCACATCCAGCAGAAGTCGCGCCAGTACTGCTCGTGTCTTCATCAAGTCCAATCACCGACGCAAGAAAAGGAACAAGCGTTGGAGCTTTCGTGTAGAACAGCACTGCAGACACCACGAACAGCGGTCCAGCACCGGCATCACGCGCTTGAAACAGCGAAACCAGTACTTGCTGAGATAGCGTCACTGCAGCCTTGGTATGTTCATCTCTCTGGCCAGGTGCTTTGCTCAGCGCAGGTGCGAGCGGATACCACAGCAGCACTATCATGATAAACGCCAGACTGATTGTACGAGACGATGTTGAAGACGCAGCAATCTTGTCGAGACTCTGCAACAGTCGAATTTGCTCCGGTTCCGTAAGCTGAAAGCTGCCAACCACCTGAAGTCCAACACAAACACCTAGAGCCGCATTTAATTCATACGGCGACACGTTAGAGCTCGCGCTGTCCAGCGTATCCAGCAGCATCCGACGTATTTGTGTCAAGTTCTTGACCGCATCCTCCTGGAATTCACCCACAGTCTCTGACGTATGTTCACGACTTGCTAGCTGCACGTACGTCCTCAGCGCCGATCCAGGAGCTCCATCTCTCTTAAGCCACTGGTACATGAACACACTTAGCTCCTTTGTAGTGCTCATCGTCAACAGTTCCAATGCTATGGCTGCACAATGCAGCGATGTGGTCTGTCCACTGAGTTTGTCCTTTAGTCTCGACGCATACAGAGGCGACAGCTTGGCCAACTGCACACAAGCGTGGCGTGGGTTCTCTAGTACGGACGTGGTGGAGCTCAGAGCGTCCTGTTCCTGCTGTGCCATAGTCTTGTCCATCGTTGTTGTCTCCACCACCGCCGCCACGATGGCGTCCATGAGCTGCTCGACACATGAGGGATCGTTCATGGCCAGTCTTGAGAGCAGAATGGGCCCCACAGGCACTGCTAGAGCCTTTCGAGTTATCGCCTGGATAGACAGAGGATTGTGAGCTGCTATGGGCTGCGTTTGGAGCTTGAAACTGGCTAGAGTCAGCACGAGGATGGCAGCGACTTCTTCCTGGTAGATCTCGTTCAAAAAGAGCTCGCTGGACTCCAAACTCCCAGCGGCGGCGAGCAACCACTCGCACAATACGATCCTCACTCTCGCAGCTGCTGATCCGCGCTCGAAGCGGCGGAATGGGGCCACGGCGTCGGGAGTTACCGACGATTGGAGTTGTGACGGCGTCAGATCTGCAAACACTTGGGCGTATTGACGCCATTTCGAGGCCTTTTCGACGCGGAGAAGGGTAGCGTCCAACGCCGTCGAATTGGGAAGCGAGTGGGAGGTGGTACAGGCGCGGCGTGATCTCTGGAGACGCGTCATGAGTGGCAGGAAGGGGGTCAACAACCCGTCCAGAGCTATGGCTGAGTTACTCGCAGCGACGCCATCAGGAAGAATGGGGAGCTCGCCAGCGGCCACAACGGAGAGCAGACGTGTAGGAAGTGAATGAGACGACGCGGTAGAGGATGAAGAAGCAGTGGGCGTGGTGACGGCCATGACCACGTCGCCGTCCGGACCGCCCGAGGAGCTCATGGCTTGAATATGCTGTAGCACGAATGTAGCACCTCTGTAAAGGGGTAACCCATGTAACCCCTGTACAAGTCGATTTGATATGTTGTATCTAGTTTTTTTGGGCATTTCAGATTCTTTTTTTTTAAATGAATCTTAAATTCGGGACGTTTTTTATTCGTATGATTGGTGCTTAATCGAGCCATTTTTAAGCCAATGAAATGCGTAATCTCCATCATCAATATTTCCGTATTCGCTGTCACTAAAGGATGGGGAAACTTCAAGTTTGGCTCGAAGATTGCGAGAGCAAGAACAATGGTAAATCTCTTCACATTTTTTTACTCTTGTAGCGAATTGCTAATTTATTCAACTTCGTCAATCAAAAGTACTGTAAAAACCACGAGTGGTAACCTACACGTTCAACCTTGAGACTATTTCGGTGGAGCGTATCGACGTGCTGGAGTCGAAACTACGCGACCTGCAGGATAAAGTCGAAATCGTTCGCTCGAAGAGTGAAGGGACTCCATCCTGGCAGAATTCGACCATCCAAAAACTCGAAGGAGAGATGAAAAGGCTGCAGAAAGATGCTGCTGGGCGCGACGCGGTGATCTTGCAGCTGAAAGAGGAGGTCAAGGCTGCTCACCTTGCCCGCGAGAGCTCGTTAGTCATTCCTCTTCAAGCAACAGCTAAAACAATCCCAAGCGGTGACTTGATTTGCTGGAAAAAGTCGGCATTTGTCTTCGGCGTCAATGCTGTCACAACTGGCATCGATGGCATCGTACGGGTATTAACCACAAGAAAATGAATTCAATTTTGTCCACCCCGACTGCATCATCCGTCTTAATCTTCTAAACACACAGAATTTCTAGTCTCACTACGTAATTGGTGTTGCTGACATGCTCTATTTGCGTGGACAACTATGTTTTCATGTTTTCGACTTACATGAAAACCAGTGGGAAATGACCACGTGAACGCGTAGGATGAAGGTAGTGAAAACGGAGACGTGATCTGTATTGTTTTTACAGCTCACACGTATTTTCAGCTGGACATCAGTAAATACGAGAGACTAGAACCGATAGTGCTGCCTGGAATCAGTCTCTTAACGCAACTACATGTAGTCGAGATTTCACCATTCCGACGCTTTCACAGTCCCCGCGCAGCCCTAGTGCATAGCTGCATAATCCTGACGTTTAGATAACGTCAAGTCGACCCCAGCCACGTCGAATGGTTGAATATAGAAACAATCTCTATCCCTAGGAATCATGGCTGAAACGACAACGTGACTCGTTTTCCAGCAGAGATTTCTGCCCCCTTCAAGGACGAGTTATGTGACCAGGTCTCCAGACGTTAATGTCCGGGGAAAATTAGCCGTTGGTCTCCGCATAGCCGCTAGTGTGAAGAATACAACGGTTCAATAACCGGCGGCCCACTCGTACCCCTTAGTGGTTTTCCCTTAGCGGCAAACGTCATTCTTCAATTTCCAGATTCTCCTATAGTCGTTCGTACGATACTTCCGTGAATGTCTGCCACTAAATCCGACTGTAGCAGTGGATCGACTGCCTCTGCAGAAGGCGCTGAAGCTACCACGAGTGCTGAAGTGTCACCAGAAATGATTCCCGCTGCCATTCCTGTTAATATTTCGTCGCCATCACCATCCAAGACGATATCGCAAGAGTTCCAAGAGTTTGAAGGCACCACCATTTTCGCTCCATCCCCGTCACCGACTTATCGGTATTCGCTGTCACTAAAGAATGGGAAACTTCGAGTTTGGCTCGAAGATTGCGAGAGCAAGAAACAATGGTAAATTTCATTTTTTAACTCTTGTAACGAATTGCTTGTTTATTTCTACCTTGTCAATCCTACAGGTGCACGACAGAACTCGACACTCAGGACTATGTTGATTCCACCAATGTCATCCCAGATGCCACTGCGTCCGACTACGTTGAGGTTTGTGCTGAAAACGATTGTGGGAATTATCATGTTGATAGCTAATTAAAGTTGTTGGCCCCAAATAGTGCTTCCGAGATCTCCTGGATGCTGCTCACGACGACGCGACCAACATTCCAAGCGCATTTCAGCGGCACAAAGATGGTGTTTTCCAGCTAAAACTAGCAGTCATGATCCAAGTGTTGCGCAAGTCACGAGTGGTGGCCTACACGTTCATCCTTGAAACTATTTCAGTGGAGCGTATCGACGTGCTGGAGTCGAAACTACGCGACCTGCAGGATAAAGTCGAAATCGTTCGCTCGAAGAGTGAAGGGACTCCATCCTGGCA